GAGACTCAGGGTGGCTTACAATGCGTTAAGCAACAGCCTTCATCCTTTTGTATATTTATACAAAGTCAGCTTATTGCCCCCACAAACTGGGTCCTCAATTTACCTACCTTAGAAAGGATGGAAGGCTGAGTCAACCTTGAGCCTGGTGAGATTCGAACTTACAGTAATTGCAGACAGCTGGTGTTAATCGCAATGCTATCAGTCTGCTGAGCCACCAGCAGACACCATTTTATCAATGGATAGACAATAAAGAATAAAGAATGGAGATGAAATATTACATATGAAATGAAATTTGGATAAAATGTGTAAACACTTGTTTTTAGTTAGATGAAAGAACATTTGTCACAATTGAAATTTTGAAAATGTTGAGAGCACGAAACGACTTTAACCGATCGAAACACTCTGTCTGTAAGTATATGGAAGGATGATGTTTTTATGTTGTTTTTGTTTAAAAAAATAAAAAACCTTCTTCTAAAAAAGAAAAAATGGATGGAAACTAATCAGGGAGAGAAGCAACCTGGAACTAAGGAGAAACTTCCTAACCGGGAGGACAATTAACCAGTGGAACAGCTTGCCACCAGAAGTTGTGGATGTTTCATCGCCGGAGGTCTTTAGGAAAAGACTGGACAGCCACTTATCTGAAATGGTATAGGCCAGGGTCTCCTGTTTGAGCAGGGGGCTGGACTAGAAGACCTCCGAGGTCCCATCCAGCTCTATTCGGATTATGACTCAGAGAGCAAGAGGACAGAAACCAGAGTGGAATGGGGGGAAAAAAGAAAAAAGAAAGAAAACACACACAGAAAGAATCGAAACTATCCAAGGACTCCAACTCACTCAAAAACCTGGGGTTTTATTTGCAATTTACTCAACAGGCCTTACAACAAGTGAGATCTGTGTAGCTACAAATGGCCGGGATTCGAGGCCCCCACATTGCCATAAGTTGAATATAAGTTGAATTAAATAAATAAATAAATAAATAAGACGACCACCCACCAAGGTCAGGAGTGGGGGTGGAAAACAGCAACACTTCAGACATCTCCCAGTTCACATCTCTGCCGCCTGCTCTCCGGAGCTATAATAATTATGCAATTTTCCGAGATTCTAGGCACCAAAATACATACATACGCCTCTGACTCAGGGAGTTGGGAGCAGTTTAAAAATACAACCTGGATCTGGCAGAGACTTGCGCCCAAAATGCACATCAACGCTCGGAGAGAGGCGGAGAAGTAATTCAATGGCCTGGGCTAATACGAATTTTAGAATGGGTGTAGGTATGTTTTAATCTATGGGCCACATTTTTATATATCCAATTTTAAATTGTTTTAAATTTTGTAAATTTATATGTGTTTTAATATGGCTGTACACCGCCGTGAGTCCTTCACAGGAGAAGGGCGGTATAGAAATCTGATAAAGATAAAGAATGGCGTTTAATAATTCTGTCTGTCTGTCCTGAAAACGGTCGTTTGCAACACACAGGTCGTCCTCAACGACTACAATCGAGCCCAACATTTCTGTCGTTGAGCGAGACATCTTGGTCAAGTGAATGTTGTCCCGCTTTACGGCCCTTTCTGTTGTTGAGCGAAACACTGCAGACGGTAAATTAGTAACACGGTTGTTAAGTGAAACTGGCTTCCCCCACTGCTTGCCAGGAGGTTGGCAAAGGGGGGGGGGATCACATGATCCCCCCTCCCCGGGGACGCCTCAACCGTCATAAATAGGAGTCGGTTGCCAAGCCTCTGGATCTGGATCACGTGACCACGGGGAAACTGTGGGGAAAAGATCATTAAGTCACATTTTTCGGCGCCCTTGTAGCATTGAAGAGTCACTAAATGAACTGTTGGTAAGTCAAGGACTACCTATATAACCATTTGAAATGATATTGGGTTTGAACGGGGGAAGCGGGGGTGGACTAGATGATCTCCAAGGTCCCTTCCAATTCCGTCATTCTGTTACATCACAGGCAGTGGAAGTAAGAGGCAGGGAGATTCCCTGTTTTTGTAAGGGGCCAGGGACCGTATGGGTCAGCTCTCCCTCCGACGTGACAGCTGACCTTGGGGAGAAGGCTGGAACCAGAATAGGGAAGTGAGGGGCGTGGCAGGAACCCTTTGATCCCAGGGCCAAATAAAACCAGGCGACACCGGTGCCTCCTAAGTACAAAAGGGGAAAAAGGCAAAAAAAAAAAAAAAAAAAAAGGAAACGAACTAAAATGCAGCAATCATCTAAAATTAGTGCCTGGGATAAATTATAATTGTACTGTGTATTATTATTACACCTGACCTAGCCGTATTTATAATAACATATATTTATACACATATTTATAATTACAGTTCCTTCCTCGGGAATTATATTGTACAAATGTAAGCCAAATCAGGAAGGTAGGGGGGGGGAGGGAGGAGGGATAGGGGGGAAAAAAATAGAATTTTCTGCTCTTTTTGCAAGGCAGGGACTATTCAAAGCATCCCTATATATATATATATATAATATGGGGTGGCAGGGAGATGAGGAGAGCTTTGCTCCAAAATGACCACTTAACCCGTGACATTTTTATTCTTGGAGGATGCAAAGGCACCCCGATCAACTCGTGGTGGCTCAAGGCTCCCAAGGGACGGGACTGCACTTTCAAAAGTCAGTTTTTCCCACACTCCGTAGGCTAAAACGATTGGGGGGGGGGGAGGCAGCTCTAATCTCCCATCTCATCCCACATTGCTGGATGAATAATTGTCTAGGGGAGGGAGGGAGGGAGGGAGGGAGGAGGCTGGCAGCCCTTCAGCAGGCAAATGGAGCTGCCCCACCCAGCCCTACCGTTGGCTTCTCTTCCTGCCCCCACTCCCCTTTGGTAGGCAAACACCAGGCACCTGACTGGCAGCCAAGCTTCGGTGCCCTCTAGGAAGGTAATCCAATGCTGACCTCTGCCCTGCCCACCCCATTCCCCTTGATGGGCACTTTCTCCACGCCTCGCAAGCATGGAGCATGCCAGATCAGACGTGACGGCTTCAACACGCCACTGCCCTTCCCGGTCTGGTCTCGCCCGGACAGGCCTCTCTTGAATCTTCAGAGCCATTCACCTGGCAGCCTCCAAGCCACCCCTCTGGCACCCACATACAAAGCAACTGGGACCCCGCACTCCACCCCAAAGGCCAACGTGGGGCAAAGGGTTCCTTTCTTCAATGGGAGGTCGGGAGCTTTGCTGGGGTCATTTAGGGTGCAGCTTCCATGCCAACTTGGGGTGCTTTGATTTCTCGGGCTCCCCTCCAGCCAGAGACCCCCCCTCCCCAATGCCCTTCCTTTCCAGCCTCTGCACTGCACAGGCAAGCCAGGACTCCAAAGCCCATAGATGCCTACAAAGGCCAGCCTGACCCTCCAGCCGTGCCCAGGCGCAGCCCGAGGTGGTGCCAAGGGCCCTGTGCCCCCCCCTTCCTCCTCCTCCTCCCCAGCCGTGACTCAGGACCACTCCCAGCCAGCAGGATTGCGCTGCCCGACCTGGCCCTGGCTGGGAGCTTGTCCTTCCCCCGGATGGCACCTGGCGCAACATCAGCCGCCTCGCCGTCAGGTGAACCACTGCGATTGCGGGCCTTCCCTCTCTCCCACCCACCCACCAGCCCCCTTCGCCGCAGGGCCCCCTGAAACCCGGCCTCCCCAGGCATGCATGCCCCGCAACCCCCCCACGAGAAGGCGAAAATCCAGAAGGCAGGAAAGCCAGATCACTTCTTCACTCAAATTCATGCATTTCCCTTCCTCTTCCAGCCACGAGACACCAGGGAAGCCACGCACGAAAGTAAGTTGCCCGGGTCTTTTTTGCCGCGCCAAGCCCAGTCCAGTCCCCCCTTGGGTGTGCAACGCGTCCTTCTCGCCACGCCGGAGGATGCCCAAGGCGGGTGGGCGAACAGGCGGCTACCCTGGTTGCCCAAAAAGCGTGCCACCTCTTTGCATTGCCTTCGAGCAGAGGAAGCACTCTGCCATGCCCAGAGTCACCCTCACCTTGTGATTCTCCAGCTGGAAGCTGTTTTCTCCCACCCCACCCCATTGCATTGCCTTCTAGCAGAAGCACTCTGCCCATGCCCAGAGGCACCCTCCTCTTGAGTCTCTAGCTGGAAACTGTTTCCCCCCCCCAATTGCATTGCCTTCTAGCAGAGCAAGCACTCTGCCCATGCCCAGAGTGATTCTCCAGCTGGAAGCTGTTTTCTCCCCCCCCCATTGCATTGCCTTCTAGCAGAAGCACTCTGCCCATGCCCAGAGCACCCTCCCTGATTCTCAGCAGCTGTTTTTCCCTCCCACCCCATTGCATTGCCTTCGAGCAGCAAGCACTCTACCCATGCCAGAGGCGCCCTCCCTTTAATTCTAGCTCCAGCTGTTCCCCCCACAATTGCATTGCCTTCTAGCAGAAGCACTCTGCCCATGCCCAGAGGCGCCCTCGCCTTCTGATTCTCCAGCTGGAAGCTGTTTTTCCCCCCCACAATTGCATTGCCTTCTAGCAGAAGCACTCTGCCCATGCCCAGAGGCGCCCTCCTCTTTGATTCTCTAGCTGGAAACTGTTTCCCCCCCCCCCAATTGAATTGCTTCTAGCAGAAAGCACTCTGCCCATGCCCAGAGGAGCCCTCCAGCTTAAAGCTGTTTTCTCTCCACCCCACGCCACTGCATTGCCTTCTAGCATAAGCACTCTGCCCATGCCCAGAGGCGCCCTCCTCTTTGATTCTCCAGCTGGAAGCTGTTCTCCCCCCCAATTGCATTGCCTTCTAGCAGAAGCACTCTGCCCATGCCAGAGGCACCCTCCTCTTGTGATTTTCTAGCTGGAAACTGTTTTCTCCCTCCCCCCCATTGCATTGCCTTCTAGCAGAGAAGCACTCTGCCCATGCCCAGAGGCGCCCTCCCCTTAATTCTCCAGCTGTCCCTCTCCCCAAATTGCCTTTCCAGGAGCGAGCACTCTGCCCATGCCCAGAGGCGCCCTCTCCTTGATTCTCCAGCCGGATGCCGTTTCCTCCCCTCTCCCGCCCTTCCCTCACCTTGCGCTGCTGCTTCTCCCAGGCGGGGTCGAGCAGGAGGTCCCGATCCCAGTCGTCCTCCTGAGCCATGTAGTCGCCGATGCCCGGCCCGTTGCCTCCGTACTGATAGGCAGGCTGTCCGGCGGTGTGGTAATCCACCATGCTACCCGCGGGCGCTTGAGGGGGAATTGGGAGTCGAGCGGCGGCGGCGGCGGAGAGAACGAGCGGCAGCTCCGAGCTCGGCGGCTGCACGGCACCGACTGACGACGACGCGCCCCAAGCGGGGGCCGCTGCGCCTGCGCCGCCACGCCCACACGGCCCGAAGAAACCCCGCCCCCACGGGAGAAGACAAGAAAGCCCGCTCTTGCCCGACCGCCGACCAATCCGCGACGCTTTCGCCAGAAGCGCAGGCGCTCAAGACCCCGGCTCTGCGCAGGCGCAAAAAAAAGAAGCCGTCCGCGAGCGGGAAGAGCGAATATGAGGGGAAAAAAAAAAGCGTTTGGGAATCGTCCTGTGGGGCCGGTCCCTCAGGAGGAGCGGTGCCCAGTGCGCGTGCGCGCGAAGGATTCCGATTTCCCTCCCCCCCACGCGGTTGTGCCCTTTTTTGGCGTCTCCCGCGTGGATGGATTTGCTTTTAAGTGTTATAGTTTCAAAGTAAAGAGGCTCCATCGGGGAGTCGTGGACGTGGGTGGGTTAAAGTGGCCCTTTGGTTCATGATTCAGACAAATTCTTACACGGTTTCTCAAAACTGGGCAACTTTTAAGATATGTGGACTTCAACTCCCAGAATTCCCCAACCAGCAAGGCTGGCTGGGGAATTCTGGGAGTTGCAGTCCACATATCTTAAAAAGACACCATGTTGAGATACAATGCATTAGGGCAGTGTTTCTCAACTTTGGAAGCTTGAAGATGGGTGGACTTCCTCCCAGAATCCCCCAGCCAGCAGCACTGGCTGGGGGATTCTGGGAGTTGAAGTCCACCCATCTTCAAGCTTCCAAGGTTGAGAAACACTGCATTAGGGATTTGTAACTTTACTTCTCCCAATATCTCTCTTTAATTCTGTAGAGATTTTCCATCATCCAAGTCACGGTTGTCCCAAAGGCGCTTTTTTCAGGAGGCGACTGGACTTTCTTATTTTTTTTGCTTTGAAGACGTTTCTGCCATTTGTCAGAAATGGTGTAGGATCTCCTGCTTGAGCGAGGGGTTGGACTAGATGACCTACAAGGTCCCTTCCAACTCTAGTTAATCTGACGTTTCGCTTCTCATCCAAGAAGCTTCTTCAACTCCTATCCTGTCAGAAGTGAAGAAGCTTCTTGGAGGAGAAGCGAAACATCTTCAAAGAAAAAAAAAAAACAAAGCCCAGTTGCCTCCTGAAAAAAAAAACACCTTGGAGACATCCATCTTTAATGGTAGCATGAAAGACAGTGATTCAATGGGTACTTTTATTAGGCCGCGGCATCTGTCAAGGAAGAAATTAAGTGATAAAACAATCCATACTGATTTTTAACAATAGCCACTATTTTTTTTTATTTGTTCAGTCATGCTGGTTCTTGGACCACTTCCTTTCTTGGTGCAAACTTGAGGTTACAATTTAAGGAACTTGTGGTTTAAAATAACCTGAGGTTGCATCTTCTTCCCTAAAACTAGTCTCCAGTGCTAAAGGACTTAAGGAAAGTGACCTCTGCCGTCTTAATTTTTCCTTCTGCATCAGGGATCACAGGATCCGCTCAGCTGCTTGGAAGAGCGAAATGGAGCAACCCCCAAGGGAAGTTTTATTGATTTCAAAGAAATACAGGCTCCATTTATGGAATTTTCCCCCATCCTGCCTCAGATACGTCTATTCTGTTGTGGCTCATAACACCTCACCAATGGAGATTTTCAGTCATCCAGGTCAGGGTTGCCCCAAATGAGACCTCTCAAATGAGATTTCTCTACCTTTTATTTGTACCTAACGATGCGAATGCTGGCTAAGAAGGAATTCCTGGAGATGAATGAAGTCTATACGTCTTAAAAGTTGCTGATTCTGTTCAACGATCCAGTAAGACAGTCGGCATTCTGTTGCTTTGCTGGGATCTGGTGACCTGGTCATTTTAAATGCAGAGTTAGATTTAATGCACTAGCGCATGGATGTCAAACTTAAGGCCCACGGGCCGAATCTGGCCCACGGAATGCTGAGATCTTCTTCTTTCTTAATTAATCTGGCCTGTGGGGCCGCCCTAGAAACAGCGAAGGACTGGCCCGTGGTGCATCTGCCAGCAAAAACGGAGCTCGGGAGAGCCGTTTTCGGCCGCAACGATCTCCTGAAACACTCTGCCAACGAAAACAGAGCTTGGGGAGGCCGTGCGCAGCCTGCCCGGGCTCCGTTTTCACTGGCAGAAGGCTGCAGGAGGCCATCGTAGCCGAAAACGGAGCTGTGATGAGTGACATCAAGCTGGCCATGGCCACAGCCACAGCCGCCATGGCCCTTATTCCCACCCCACGCCCACACCCCGGTCAAACACAACCCTGATGCAGCCCTCAAGGAAATCGAGTTTGATACCACTGCATTAGTGGAGGGCAAACCGACCAGCAGAGAAGGAACACTTAAGATCAGGATGGTGTGTGTCATTTCCCGCCCCCCCTCCCAGGCAATTATTACTTGGGAAAGGGACAATTTTGGTGAAAATCACAGCCTAGCAAAAAAAAAGTTAATCACCCCATCCCGCCCACCGCCCTGAACTGCAGCACATGTCCATATTCTTCTTTCTTACTTGAGATTTAAATCGTAAAACCGCAGGCAAATTTAAACCTAGTCCGACATTTACCATAACATGTAGTTTGGCTATAAGGCGAAGGCAATGATAGGTTGCCAAGACACCTAACTTTACTAATTACGGACAGGAGCTTTGTCGTTCTTATCTCATCACCCTGACTCTGGTTCTAAAACTATTCCATGCCGCTTTCATCCCACAGAAAGCCTCCAAGACACAGAACAATTAAAACTCGGACCACACGTTTTGTGAATTGTTTTTATCCCAGAGCTATAATTGCACTCAATAATGAACTAAAGGGCCACCATCGGTGAGCTGTTGGACAGCATTACTTGGTCTGTTGTGTGGATGTTTGGGTGGTTTAGGGGTGGGGAATTTGTGGTGGGTGGGAGTGTGTTTGGGGATTGTTATGTGTGTTGGACCTGGTCTTTGGGTGTGAAGTGAATTTCGTTGTATGGGTATACTGTGTATACACGTACAATGACAATAAAGTTATTATTATTATTAAGAAGCCGCTGCAAGAGATAATATGAGTGGTTCTCGACTTAGGACCACAACTGATCACAAAATTTCCATGCCTAAGCCAGGCAGTTTTTAAGTGAGTTCCAGCCAGTGGTGGGATTCAGCCGGTTCGGGCGAATTGGTAGCTAAATTGCTGGCTGGCTCTGCCCTTCCCCTTGGGCAACCTTCTGACCAGCAAAAGTCAATGGGGGAAGGCAACGCTCCCTTCATGATCGTGTTACTTGCTTAACAACTGCCGCGGTTCACTTAACAACTGTGGCAAGAAAGGTGGTAAAAATGGGGCAAAAATTCGTTTAAGAAACGTTTCGCTTAGCGACCGAAACCCTGGGCTCAACTGCAATCGTATTTTTCTGTAGTCAGAAAAGCCGCTGTTAACAACAATAGGTGGAAAACGGATGTCCACTGGATCACCCTGGCAAGCGAACGAACAAGTGACAACAATAACATCCTTTTCTGGCCGCAAAAAATCCAACTAAATTTTGTTAGCCATAGTGAAAGTTGCTTATGGCCCAATTCTTCGGCGTCATGTCTCTAGACCAGAGGTCTTCAAACTTGGCAGCTTTAAGACTGGTGGACTTCAACTCCCAGAATTCTCCAGCCAGCATAGCCAAGTTTGAAGACCTCTGCTCTAGGCCCAATTCTCATCACCAGCTGGAAGGAAGGGGAAAAAAATTCAAGTGGCAGATACTTTCAATACTCAAATCGCCCTTCGGGGATATCTAAACAGGCAGGACTCACAGGAAGTGACCAGCAACTATTGGAAGATTCCGGAAAGTTTTTAAGACCGTCTGGTCCCACGGGAGATCCCCAAAGCAGCAAAACCCTTCCCATCATAATTAATTCACCAGAGAAGGAAGATGCCTGAATTAGCTTCTCAGTCACATGAAGAGAAGGCATTGACCCTTAACCAGAGTGTACATTTCCTTTTACAAGAAATATGTGAAATGTTCTAAAAACGACACTGACCCCCTTAAGCCTTTAACAGTAACAGTTGGAAGGGATCTTGGAGGTCATCTAGCCCAACCCCCCTGCTCACACGGGGGACCTGTACTAGGGATTCGAACCGCCAAACTGCCGATCTTTCTGATCGACAAGCTCGGTGTCTTAGCCACTGAGCCACCTAGTCAGGTTATGTTTCTCAATCTTGGTAACTTGGAAAGATGTGTGGACTTCAACTCCCAGGATTCTCCAGCCAGCAGGGAATCCTGGGAGTTGAAGTCCACCTATCTTCACACTGCTGAAGTTAACGCTCTCCCCATGAATTCCCATTTCCCCACCCCCTGCTTTTTTACGGTCGGCTTTCATTCAAAAGCTCGCAACTATTGCAAAAATGTGTTGACTTAAGCCACGATTGTTGTGGCTATCCAGTTACACTTATGAAGTGCAATTGATAAGTGGGTCCTTTGCTTTATTGCCCTGTCTCTATGGAAACAACACAGTTTTGTTTTTCAGGAATTTGCTCTTAATAATCATTATTTCATGGTGGTGATGACATACCTTGGGTGTGGATGCGATAACCGTTCTTGTTCCTAACGCTGATCGTCCTTCGACTCTTGCGGGCACAAGTACAGTTCAGCCCTTGGTAAAAGGTTAAGATAACACAAAATACCAACACAATGAGGCAGTTGTCAGCATTATTTTTTGCATCCTTTTTTTTCCATCTTCTAGTTCAGGTGATTGTACACACCTTTTTTTTTCCTCCTACTTCCTCCTCTGCCTAATATGGAAAAAGTCACTCAGGGAGAAAAGTTTACAGCTTGCATTACGGGTACTCTATAAGAAAAACACGTGTCACCTTCCATGGCATGCAAAGGAGGGGCCCAAGAACTCAGCAATTTATTTATTTTACAGCCTATCCCAACCATGATGGATTCTTGGAGGCATCCGGAAATAAAAGATAGATATACCTGAGAAATCAAATGCATTAGAACAAGTGTTTTAAAGCCTGGAAATGTTGAAGATGTGTGGACTTCAAGTCCCAGAATCCCC